GCGGCTGGGCTTATTAACCGTGGGCTTAATAGCCGGCGACTACTGTAATAAGTTTATTTGACAGTATTTATTTTTACCGTGCCGAAATGCAGAATGCTTTAGTGTTGAATACTCGCGAACTGCTGTTATGTCACGTCGTCCAATAACAATGGCAAAGTACTTCCTGTAGGAGATTGATTTTTAGCACGTATTTATTTTGAGAAGAAGCTTTATCGAACATTGGAATCATTATTTTATTGGTCTGAGCTTTCGGCGTGTTAGGTGGGAATATTTACAGAAATAAAATCTTCAACGAAAACAAGCAACATTTATAAGGGGAAGAGTCAATTAAGACTCATAGGAGAGGAGGGAGGGGAAGAGGAGCAATTAACCACCAGTACCGTGGGTCTGGAGATACATGCGCAGGGCAACATATGCGGGCGCCAGCTCAATACATCGGTTAACTGAGTTGTCATCGGATGTCCAGGCTTCAATCAGCTCTTGGCCCGTCTTGCTGCCAGCGAGGGCAATTATCTTCGCGGCTGCGAAGTTGAACTCGTGACCCGTCTCGTAGGTGTGGACCGCCACTTGCGATAATGTGTCACCCCGTCGAACAGCCAGCTTATGTTCGTGTATGCGCGAACCCAGCTTATGTCCAGTCTGTCCCGTGTAATTTATGGGACAGTTTAGACACGGTACGCGATACATTACGTCCGACTGCTCACTGGTATTCAATCGATCCTTGATTCTCATGACACGGCTGCGCATTGTAGCCTTGGGACGGTGCGCAATTCCGACGCCTAGTGCCGCGGCAATGCGTTCGGTCGCTTCAGATACATCCTTGATGTATGGCAGCACATGCCAAATCGCAGGGGTTGTCTCTGTTTGGGTCCTCGGAGGGCGAGCACGTAGACATCGGCTTATGAAGGCCTTAGGATAGCCATTCCGCCTAAACTGGTCACAGAGATGTCGGGCCTCACGTGCTTTTTCTTCCGGGTTACTGCAGTGAGTATGGATTCTTTTAAACAGCGTTCTCACACAGCTTCTTTTGTGAGCCATCGGGTGGTTGCTATTAAAACTGAGAAGCTGTGTGGTGTTCGTCGCCGACCCTGTCGATTTTATTGCAGTCGTAGAAGCCATGCTTGTGAGGACTGAAACAACAGAGGATGGGAAACACTCCGTTCGACAACGGCTCACATTCTTGCAGATGACACGCCGGCCAGCTCAATGTGTGTCGAAGAATGAAGCGAAAGCTATAAAAGAACTAATAATGGACGACCATAGCAGCGTACTGCCCGCAGATAAGGGACAGTCAACGGTCGTCATTAACCGAGAAGACTACAACGAGAAAGCCAATGTTCTGCTTGATGAAAGAGAATTTTACAGACCTGCACAAAGCTCAGAAGCGAAAGCAGTATCAACTCAGTTAAATAAATTACTTGGAGAATTCTAACGCCGGAATGTGATCATTGAGAACGAACGGCGTCTGCTGAAACTAACACACACTGCCCTGGCTCGCGTCTATGATCTGCCAAAGATCCATAAACCGAACATTCCATTGCGGCCAATCGTTGCTCTAAAAGGCAGCTTCACCTATATCGCAAGTGGCGGCCCACACCTACGAGACGGGTCACGAGTTCAACTTCGCAGCCGCGAAGATAATTGCCCTCGCTGGCAGCAAGACGGGCCAAGAGCTGATTGAAGCCTGGACATCCGATGACAACTCAGTTAACCGATGTATTGAGCTGGCGCCCGCATATGTTGCCCTGCGCATGTATCTCCAGACCCACGGTACTGGTGGTTAATTGCTCCTCTTCCCCTCCCTCCTCTCCTATGAGTCTTAATTGACTCTTCCCCTTATAAATGTTGCTTGTTTTCGTTGAAGATTTTATTTCTGTAAATATTCCCACCCAACACGCCGATCTCGCCTACTTGTACTGACTGACATAGTCCGCAGTGGCAAGTTGGCGGCCACAACACACAATTATTGATTTTCTACACGTTAAAATTTTAGTTGTTTTGTACACACGCCACAACTAGTCACCCCATTTGTTGCTGTTTTCCCATCTCTTAAGATGGACTCCTGCAGGAGCCCGAAAGCTCAGACCAATAAAATCATGATTCCGGTGTTCGATAAAGCTTCTTTTTTCTTAAAATACACACGTCCCTAGAATGCGAACATTCGCCTCAATTCGCGAGCACATATTGGCAATCAAATGGCTCCGGCGTGAGTCGCCAGTTAATATGTTAAATATTAGCCAGGCCACTTTTTTAAGAATTATTGGTGATAGAACAGTGGCTAGAATTAAGCGAGGTGGAGCTATCAGGACGATTTCGTTCGTAGTACACTAAAAAGCACAAATTATATTTAAAGCAGATTTTCCCAGGTGCAAATTTGCAAATTGCAAGAACAGCAGGAATTATTGGATCCATAAATGTAAGGAGCGATCATCAGTTGATACCTCTCATTGCATAACATGAATGATGTGAGAGAAATACAAAATTGAATTCATACAGGGAAATCGATACAAACTACAAGGCCATAGGATGTGGCCAAGAGGTTAATCAATAACGTAGGAAAGTCAAAACACTGTGGGCAGCAAAAATGGGGGGAAACGTCTAAGGCAGAAAAAATTAGGAAGGGAACTGTATAAATCTGGGAGCCGCATTTTGCCAGGGCAAAGCTAGATTAACCACATGCTCCAACTGTTTACATAGGTCTGGTTTTCACCGCCGTATATAGGCTGCCTCCAGGTAGCGCAAGGTACGAGTTGTTAGTGCTCGAAAAAGTACACGGAAGGAAGTTTTAGGGTCCACAGAATGGCCCGTATTTAACAAATGTTCTGTAATAGAGGAACGAGACGTTCTGTGTTCCTGTTTGAAAAGCCAACTAGGCAAGTGCTCCTTAGCTCTGGCTGCCAGTTGTCTTTGCGTTCGCCCTATGTACTTGCATCCGCACCAGGGATTGGTAAGGCCTGAGTTGGGGAGCAAAATATGAGCTCGGCAGCATAGTAAGTTCTATTAATGGCATTAAGCAAGCGTCTCTTGATGGTGTTTAATATGCTATCGCTTTTAAAGGGCAAGGAAACGAAAACAGGCCTTTTGGAGCTAACTGTTCCGTCCTTTTGGGTCGTAAGAATTAACTAAATTTGTCAATAAACTGAGCTGGGTATCCACGCTTCAGTG